GCAGGGGGCAGAGCCCACGCGTCTCCATACAAGAGCACAGGAAGTGCACGGCCGCGGGCAGGAGCCCACTCTGAACGTCCCCTGTGCTCCGCTTCTATGTGCCTCCTAGAAAATGTCCATCCTTCAGGGCCATGGAAAACTCATCACCCTAATTCTAAAAACTGTACATAAATAATGTGGCTTAAAAAGCCTGCATGTTTCATTATCCTCTGTGTCTGTTTAAATGTAATGAGACATCACTTCTGCATGGCTAATTGGAAAAAGCATCTTATTTCCCTAATTTGTGAAACTGCTCTAAGAAGCAGATAACCAGAGGGCAGAAAATGTAATAACCACGGAGGCAAAGTCACTCAGTAGATGATGAACTTCTCAGGAGAAAAGGCCCAGCAGCGATATTTGAATATGGTTCTTGTAATAAACTCACTGCACCCACCATAGTAGCCACAGGGCCACCGGTCCGAATTCATATTTTTTTAATGTAACAAATCTAGTTTGTTCAATACTGAGCAAAAGATTAAAAAAAAAAAAAATCAAAAAAACAGGGAGCCAGAAAGTTATGAATTTTACTTTCAGACAACAACATTGGATAAAAACATTATCAATTTCAGCAAAATCTCCTAAATCCCATGAGGTTCCAGGAGATGCTCCAGGCACCCAGGACACAGCCAGGGCCCAGCCCGGCCCTCAGGAGCGGACAAACAGGAAGAGGGAGTCGTGTCATAAACAAAAAGTCACACACAATCCCACAGGAAGCGCCGCGAGAGGGTCATCAGGGACTGTGCCTCTGACAAGACCACCTTCCAGTAAGATCTGAAGGCCCAGAGGGAACCAGACACTCACTCGTCACAGGTGAGAGAAAGAGGCATCTGGTCAGCTGTTCATCGACAAGTAGCCGTGAATAGCGGCTCCGGGACACACGCTGCCTCAGGCACTGGAGCTAGAAGGTCTGCTTTCCTCCTGGGACCCATTCAACCTGGGGGAGGGGCGGTAACCTCCTGACAAAGGCCACGGGCTACCGCTGAGCCTCTGCTTCCCGGCTGGGAGCGCCTGGGCGATGGCCATCCGGCCCTACACCATCCACTCTGCTCATTTCAAGACCTTCCTATCAGCAGTTAAACAAGTCCCAAGGCCTCCAAATCTAGCTGAGCTTCCATAAAATAGGGATTTCCAGGGTGAGCTAGCCCCAGGGACAGGCAAGCAAAAGGTCTGAAAAGCAATTCAATAGTGAGCAAAAATGGAACAGACACATCATCAAAGATCTACACATGACAAATGAGCATCTGTAAAAATGCTCAACATCATGAGTCATCAGGGAACTGCAAATTATAACCCCATAGATACATTACACACCCGCTCAAAACTGGCGAGAATTAAAAAGGCTGGCAATACCGAGTACTGACAAGGATATGGAGCAAGACTCTCACGCCCTGCTGGTGCGAGTGTAGACTGGGACAGCCACTATGGAAACTAGGTTGTCAGTTTCTCATGAAGCAGATGCACATTCACGTCCCATACAACCACCCTTCTGCCATGTACTCAGCACAGAGGGGACACAGGGGCCTTCGCTAGCACTCTGCAAGGTTTACAGCAAATCTGCGATGACCCCACTTGGGAAGAGCCCGAGTACTCATCGAGTACTGGCCAATGGGTAACCACACTGAGGTATACACCCAGACAACAGAGTCCCACTTGGCAGTGACATGTGACAATGCGAACGAGTGTCTGAGCACCAAGAGAGGCCACTCAGGCAAGGCTGCAATTCGTGTGATTCCATTTGTAAGACATTCTTAAAAAGTAAACCTCGAGAGCCTGAAAGTGGATGAGTACTTCACAGGGGCATGGGGTGGGGACGGGAGGCTGACAGCAAAGGGAACTTTTCAGGGTGATGGAAATGTTCTAGATCATGATTCAAGTGGTTGTCATATTGCTACATACAGGTATCAAACCAATCTAATTGCACACTTCAAAGAGGTGAATTTTATTTTATGTCCGCTAGACCTCAGTGAAGCCACAGGAGGAAGAGGACGGGGGGAGGTGGAGAAGGACCACCAAAGCAGAACCAGACCTCGCCTGCTGAGTGAATCAGGGAACATGGGGACAGATGGGGGGAAATGCCGAAACCCTTCTTCCCGAGCAGTCAGAAGCCCCAGCCTTCGGGGAGGCACACGGACCAGCTACAATCGGAGTGACATTTTCCCGGTACCATACACCAAGGACAAGCCATGACTCCGTTCTGGCCACGGGATGTGAGAAGCACTGTGAGCAACTTCTACAAAAGGTGGAAAGGGAGGGGCACGACCTTCTGTGCGTGTTGTCCTTCATGCTGCTCAAAGACAAACGTGATGCAGAGAGCTAGACAGAGCGGCCAGCGGGGACCATGAGGGGGAGGCCAAGCACAGAGGAGCAGCCACCCCACGGCCAGCAAGCCCGTGCCTGAGACAGGAACACCCTTCTGTGCGGTCAGGCCACCAACTGACTGTTGCAGAAACCCCTGAGCCAAGCCTCCATAACGTCAGAAACTAGAACCGGGTCTGCCTACCGCCGATCACAAGGCCATACTTTTCCTAAAGCCCCTTGCTTATCACCTCACTCCCTGCACACCCAGAGCTGGGCCCAAATGGCCCTCTCCTGCATGTGGCAGCCTGCCTGAGCCCCACGTCCTCCCGGGGAGCCCAGCAGCCCCTTGGGTAGCACTGCCCTGCTGAGCGGGGGCCTAGGCAGGGTCTGCAGCTCCAGGGGATGCACACGAGCCCAGAGCAAGAAACTGTTTAACAGAGAGACCGGATGCCAGGGAAGAGGCGCCTCAAAACAATGGGACCAAGGTCCCAGGACGTCAGAGACAAGTAGACCAATCAACACCAACTGCGGCTGTGAGCTCAGCTCTGCAAGGAAAGTGTCAAGTGTTGGGTAAAATATAAAAATGAAATAAACCAAAGGTCTATGGCTGACTCCACCTTCCATTAAATAAGTAAAAAAGAGATAACAATATCTTATCTCTTGTTTCCCAGATACAGTAAGTACAACTGCTGAAGAAGACAATCAAAAAGAAGTGTCTCAAAATGAATACTTCTGTGGAAGACTAATTTTCTCCTTTTGTGTTCTATAATCTAGAAGTATTTTTGCTTTCGTCATCCAGGATTTTTGTTCAACAAACTTACCAAACATACAAGAGACAGCAAAGTTTAAAAGTGCATTTAGGGGAGCAATCAAGATGAAAGAAAATACTTCAAACGGTAAAAAAAAAAAAAAATCCATTTTAAAGAGATACTGTTTATAATAGCAACAAAAAATATGATAATTAAGAATGAATCTAATAAAACACACACAAGACCTTTTATGGAGCCCATTCTAAAACTACACTGAAACGGCCTAGAACATGGAGAATCCACACGTTGGTGACAAGGGAGACTGTGATTCACGAAGACGTCCATCCTCCCAAACTGGTCTCCAGACTCTGTGCAGCTCCCACCACACGACCAGCAGACAGTAAACACCAACGGGGCACAGAGAAGCTGGGGACATCTGACCGTGAGGCTCAGGTGGGCGTGCAAGGGCCTGAGGCCTACCAGCGAAGGGGGGGTTGGGGCTCCGCCCGCGGGGCCACTCAGGACACAGCTGGACTCACTGGCCGGTGTGGTGTTGAGGGAAGACACCTTGAATCCTGGGCCAAAACAGAGACCACGGAAACACGTGTACAAGTGTGAGGACGAACACCAGAAAGGAGGCTGCGAACACGGGCAGACGAGGTGGAGGCCACGCACGAGGCCGGGCCCGGCAGGTCCCTTCATGGGCAAGTTCCCTGGATGCCTACCTCACATCATGCACAGCAGGCACTGACAGATGCACGGAACATCTGAAGAGATGGAGAAGCTCGACCACATGGAAACAAGGAACTTCTGGTCCCCAAAAGCCGCCAAGAAGGACGTGAGAAGCAGCCACGGCGTGGAAGAGGATGCGTGTGACCCGCGAAATGACAAAGATTTAGAATCCTTAACATACAAAGACCAGCAGCCGATAAAAAATTAGATCAACAACCCAAAAGAAAAATGGGCCAAAGACAGAAACAAGCATCTCACAGAGGAGGGAAGGCAGGGACCCATAAATCCAGGAAGAGGTGCTCGCTGCCACCTGGAAAAAGAGACACGCAGACGAAGGCCACCACAAGAATGCCCGCCAGAGGGATACGAAGTGGGAAGTCCTGGCAGGGATGTGGAGCACGGCACTCACACTCCGCAAGCGAGCTCTCGAGGAGCCCAGCCCACCTGGGAGCAGCGGACACCATCCTGCGGGCTCAGGAGGCTCACACCCCAGCACACAACTAGTTCACGTCTACAGCAGTGCCCCAGAGAAACTCCTGCCCATGGGCACCTGCGAGAAAGTGCCTGAAGGTCCCGAGCACAGAACATGAGACCCCACCCAAATATCCGGCAACGGGAAAAAGGTCGCAGAGAGTGCGCGATATTTAAATGATGGATTGTTACACAACTGGACACAAGATTGGATGAATCTGAGAAAATAACACGGAAGAAAACCACAAGCTGCAGATGGACAAGGCTACTGGAGAAAGGATGCGGCCCCCACTGCTTCCTGGAGAGGGACTGACCACAACACCACACGACACACGCTGAGGTCGTGGGGAGTCACAGAGTCAGGAGGTCGGTCATGTCCTGGGGCCCTTTGAGAGCAGTGTGAGAACTGGGAGCAGCTCCAACACAATGGGTCCAACGCGAGTGGGGTTCCCGGTCCTCAGTGGGGATGGACACGAGGGTACGCTCTATCTGCACACGCCTGTATCCTTTATATGTCTCAATATTACACACAAAATATTTTAAGAACAATCTGCGGTTCTTGTCCGGGACTATGTTCACAAGGGCTACCCCCAAACCTGTGGTGGGTAAGCACCCCAACTGCACCAACCATCTCACTAGTTCTGTGGGAACCCGCCACCCCGACGGAGGAAACACCCTCCCCACAGGCATTTCCAGATCCCCGGCTCTTACCTCTGTCACTTTGGGTTGAAGTATTAATGCTTCTGGACTCATTCGAGGGATGTCTATATGGATCTGGAGATGCAGGAGAAAGATGTATTACTTTACAAGATGACAAATGTCATTATAAGCATGTGCTTAAAATAGCAACCCTGAACAACAGCAATGAATTTACTCTGGACTCTAAGCTGCCCCCACTCTGAAAACACGAATTCCTTACATCACCGAGTTCGGCTCCAGAGGAGTTGGCCAGTTCTACCTGAATGGGGCTCCCTAAGTCCCAGCGTGAAGGCTTGCCTGACACTTCCCGACCAAACAGTTGCTGCTCTGTGATTAGGAAGAGAGCGGCCCTCAGCTCTTCAGCAACATAATCCATAGCAATTAGTAAACATTGATTTCCAGGCTCGGACACGGGGAGCACTTCAGGGGCATCGATAGTGTACAAGTTCTCGGCGGTGACAGCTTCTTCGTGGCACCCAGGCCACATTCTTCACTTCACAGAGTCCGTGGGGATCCAGGGCACTTCTCAAAGGAAGCACTTGAAAACCACTGCTGGTGTTAGCTGATCCCTACTTGGCCCCCGACTGACCTGAGTCATCACGAAGGCCCCCACTCTGCACAGGAAAACACCTGCCGTTCAAGCAGCAACCGAGTAAGAGCGTTCAGGCCTTGAGCCGGCATCACAGGCTGGCTCCCAATATCCCACAGGAATATCTCCCACTGGCCAACACGGTCACCATCCCCATCACCCAGGGAAAGGTCTGCTGAAGGAAGACGTGCACATTTTAATGCCAAGAGGGAGTCTACGATTCAGGTCCATCCCCCTGTCTTCGTACGTGACCACAAGGATCCTACTATCCACAGGACCAGGACGGTGTCCTCACTCTGCCTTATTAGCGCTGCAGCCTTGGCTACAGTACTCAGGCCCTGCGGCTCGGCGTCCTTGTCTAGAAGGTGCCTGCCATACCTCAAAGGGTGACTGGTGAAGAGAGCACAAGGTGGATCGACAGCCTAGGGACCCCCGCCAACCACACCGTTCTGCAGCGTGGGGGCTGCTTCCCCACTGACGGGCTCCTGCCTGGGGCTCTTCCCTCAGGGGAGAACCCGGAAACCAGCAGCCCCTCAGCAGCACCCAGCCAGGGGAGAGAACCGGGAGGGAGTTGGGGGCCAGTGGACTCAGCATTCGGGGAGCACAGTCCATGGGCAGCAATGAAGGACAATGGGAAGGAAAATGAGAGTAAGGAGCCAGACAAGAGCAACACAGGAAACGATGAGCCCCAAGCCCTCTGAGCGACCCGGGGAAGATTGAGGAAGCAGAGACATGCGTGCGACCCGATGTGCGAAGGAGGCCTGCGGGCAGCGGGGCTGGGAGGGAGGGGTGAACCATCCAGCCTAGGGGGCCCGAGGATTCCAGCCCGACACAACCCCTGCACCAGGGCATCCTCGAGGGCCACCCTGAGAACACTGCCCTCATGCCATCGTACTCAGGCACACGTCTGCCCCCCCTTACACAAGAGCTGCCCGTCATGTGCTTTCTGAGTGGACAGGACAGCAGGCACCATAACTCCGCCCACCGTGGTCTGTGCCAACAGGAGGAGGAGGTCCAACCTGAGAGGGGGCGCTGCACAAGGCTGGGCACAAGGGGCTCTGTGGACCCCTCCAGGCCACCTGCTCCCCACGTACAGGGCTGAGATGTAGGGGAGGCCCAGACGGCTGCAGAACTCCTCCCTCCTAGGGAGGACACACCGGATGAATCTCGAATCTGACCGACTCGGTGTGCTCTGGGCATGACGTCTTCCACCAGACACTAAGCACACGGACAGAGGACACAGAGGGATGTAAAAGCAGGCCACAGCCCCGTACTCCTGCCACCTCCTGGCAGTGTGGGAGGGCGGGGCAACCACCAGGAGCAGGCAGCAGGGAGACAGCAGGTGCCCGAGCCCCAGACCAGCCCAGGCTCTGCCTGGACAGAACAGCGTGTCGGAGACAGGAGCCGCAAAGACAGGACGGGGTCCACCTCCAGCAGGCGGGTCTGCAAAGCCAGCAAGCCAACCAAACTGCCACAGGCTGCGTTGTTCTCAGCTATATTAATGTAGACCCATTCTGGGAGTTTGCAATAATATGGAAGCTTTTTATTACCCATCATAGTAACTGAATAAAGATGCATGTAACCCATTTTTTATTAACTTTCCCTTATGAAATTCATAATAGAACACAGCTTGGTAACTCTTATAGATAGATGCTGGTATCATCCTTTGGAAGTCTTTCTCTTGAATGAAAATTCATGAGGAACATATTCAAAACAATACCAAATTGGCCCATTCCCTAAAATTAGTGAAGTGTAAAGAAAAACCGGGTAACCTAATATTTCCCTAACCAAATCCAAATGCAACCTCTCTCAAATCAGTTTCTCGTGCCCTCGGAGCCACTGAGGCGAGGCTGAGGATGAGCCAGAGGCAGAGGGCCCCGAGGCAGAGGGGCCCCGCCCCAGGAGGCAACAGAAGTGAGTTCCTGCCCTCTTCTGGGTCCTCACTCTCAAGCATGACAATCCTCCAAGCTCCACTGTATCCCATCCGTGAGGAAGATATTCCCCCAGAATCCATTAACCTTGAAGAACGTCCAGTTATCAGTCAGAGGGAAGACCTGTCTTTGGAGCTTTCTAACAGATCTATACCGAAATGACAGAGAGATGTGGACAGCCCACATCTGAGGCAGAAAAATTCGGCAAGGCTCCTTCACCTCGAAGAAGGATTTCCAAAAGGAAATATTCAGTACTGACAAGTCTCAGGAAAGTCAGAAGTTGATTTCAGAAACAGAAGGCAGGGCTACCAGTTCAGAACGACCTTTTTATTTAAATGCAGCACAAAAATAAGAGAATGAATGAATGCAGCACAAACCATTCTGAATTCTCACATATTACAAAGACAGTGAGAATTACAAAGCCCTCAAAAAGCTATTCTAATAGCAAATTCTGAATGTATTGTGAACTGTAAATCAATTTTAAGTACTTTTCCCATTATAGACACCATCTGTCAATGGACTGTTCAAGAAGCCGTAATGATACCCATTTTGAATTAAAGTGAACAGCAAGAACGATAAAGTGGCCACACGTGTTGCTATGGACTGAGCTGTGTGCCCCCAAATCCAGCTGACGAGCACAGCTCTTGTCCATCCAAATCCCGTCCCCCAGTGCCCCAGGGGGCCCTGCGCCCACGAAGCCCACAGAGACTCTCCTCTGATCGACCCAGCAGCAAACGCCTGCTCCCGAGCCTTCAGGTCAGACAGCAGCTCACTGAGCCAAAAGGTGCCCCCCGCTCCTGAGCCAGGTCTCGGGGTCCTGGCAAGGGATCTTAGGCTTCCGTTTTGTAACTCCAATTAAAAAAACCCTTTTCACTTTCATAGAAGGAGCCGGAGATAAGCATACTATTATTATGGCTACACCAATACTATTATTAGAAGCATACTGTTATTTATTCTCAAGCTTATTTATTAGAAAACACTAATCTGTCACCCAGTTTGGGACATGCTAGAGAGAACACTCCCTCCTACCAATCATCACCAAGTTAAAGTTCTTCACATAACATGAAACGGGAGAGGAGCTCACCTGCCTGTAGGTGTCCTGGTGAACACCATCATTCCGAGAGTCGTAATAGTGCTCAATAAAAGCAAAATATTCTTTCTGTTTTCTCTGGAGAGTGGCTGGTCTTTGGTCCACATTGGCAGGAAGGTAACCCTGTGTGAGAAAAAGAACAGAAACAAAATGTATGTGGTTAATGCTAGATTCACCATTCTGAAATGGGATTCTGAAACTGGATGCGGGGGAGCATAACGAGTTGTGAAAACAGAAACAGACATCAAGGAAATCAGCTGGCTGGCCTCTGAGGCTCAGACACGCCACAAGGGACTCACGGCCACAGGGTGGGAGTAAGACCGGAGCCTCTGGCAGGCTGGTCCTTCGTGCTCTTCCAGAGCAGGACTGAGAGGAGCCCCCAGCTCTCTAAATGCCTCGTGTGCCTCAGAGGATTCAGAAGTCTGCAGGTCTGACAACAATAGAACGTACGTGTGTGTGTGCATGCTCACATGTACACACAACAGAGGCCTGTACGCGTACGTGTGCACGTAATACGCATACACGCACACATGTACAGACTGTCGCCTAGGCAAATGTCCCCCTCTCTGCAGAGACCGCTGGGCGCCTGGCAGTGCAGCCCCAGTGCATAAAGTGAACTCAAACCCAGAAGGGCTGGGCAGCTCCGGGTGGTCATGAAGAGCCCAGACTCAGGGCCACACTGCTTGGTGTTTTACATGCTTTTTATTTCTTTGTTTCTCCTTTTAAATCAACACTGACATATCCCATATAAAATGTGCCCCTTCTAAGTCAACAGTTCCGTGACCCTGGATGGGGGTACACAGCTGTGTAACCGCTACCCCAGTGAAGTGGCAGAGCATTTCTATCACCCCAAAACCCTCCCTGTGCCCACAGCAGTCCCTCCCCACACTCGCAACCGGAGAGCCTGGAGAGGCGCTCACCCCCTCACCAGGGAGCACTGAGGCCTGGCCTAGAACTTCACGGAACCATTTGGGGACCCACACTTGGTTTTCACTCAGCCTCACGGTCTTTGTGATTCATCTGAATTGAAGTGTGAGCCAGCAGTTACTTCCTTGGCTTAGGGAGCAGTATTCCATGGTACGGATGGGGCACTTTGCCGGGCCATGCCCTGGCTGCTGACCATCGGGGCTGGTGCTAGTTTGGGGCTATTATGAATAAAGCTTGTTATAAATATTCTTGTACGAGGGTTTTATGGCTATGCACTTTGATTTCTCATGGTTCCACACCTAGGGATGGACTTGCTGGCTCACTGTGCAGGTGCATGTTTCGCTTCCTAAGAAACTGCCAGACCTTCCCCAGAGTGATCGTACGGTTTCACATTCCAACTAGCAGCGTATGAGAATCTCAAATGCTCCACACCTTCCCTGACACTTAGTATTGTCCTTCAGATATTAGCCATCCTGGGGGTACTTGGCTGGGTCAGTCTGGGGAGCATGCATCTCTTGATCTCGGGGTTGTCGGTTCAAGCCCCATGTTGGGTGTAGAGATTACTTTAAAAAATAAAATAAAATCTTTATAGACAAATACCATATGATTTCAGTTATATGTGGAATATGTTTCCAACAGGAAACAAAACAGATGAACACATGGGAAGGGGGAAAAAAGAGGGAAGCAAACCATAAGAGACACTTAACAGGGGCACCTGGGTGGCTCAGTCAGTGAAGCATCTGCCTTCAGCTCAGGTCATGATCCCGGAGTCCTGGGATCGAGCCCCGCATCGGGCTCCCTGCCCAGCGGGAAGCCTGCTTCTCTCTCTCCCACTCCCCCTGCTTGTGTTCCTGCTCTCACTCTCTCTCTGTCAAATAAATAAATAAAATCTTTAAAACATAAAAATAAATAAATAAATAAATAAGATCTCTTTAAAAAAAATCTTCAAAAAACAATCAGCCATTCTACTGAGTGGCTCTAAATGAATGAGGAACATCTCACGCACCCATCTGCCACTGCTTCTCTTCTTTGGTGAAGTGTCTGTTCAAATCTTTTGCCCATTTTTTAAATCCAGTTGTTTGTCCTTCTAGTGAGTTTTATGGTTCTCTATTCTAGACAGAATTTTTGTATCTAGATACATAATATACATATTACGATTATATTCTCCTACTAATCTGTGGCCTTTTTGTCTCAAATAGCAGGAGTTTTCAATTTCCATGATATCCAACTTGTAAAGTTTTTCTTTTATTTTTAGTGCTTCTTCTGTTCTATATAAAAAAGAGTCTTTCCTTGTTTCTTCCCTAGATGTTTTAAAGCTTGACCTGGCTACCTCCTGCTCATCCCTCAAGCGTCTCTTTGATGATAACTCTTCTTCAGGAGGCTCAGCCTGACACCAGAAGCAGGCTGGCCACGCCAAGCTCCAGCAGTACCTGGCAAGAGACTCCGTCAGAACCAGCCCCTCAGTGTGCTAGCCACGTGGCAGTCAAATTTTTATTAAGTGAATTTATGTATGAGCAAGAAAGTGAATGGCTGAACAAATATATCCTATATGTTACCTTCTGCCTTTTAAAATTCCCCCACATCCGGGGCGCCTGGGTGGCTCAGTTGGTTGAGCACCTGACTCTTGATTTCGGCTCAGGTCATGATCTCAAGGTCCTGGGATCGAGTCCCTCGTCGGGCTCTGCACTCAGCAGGGAGCCTGCTTGAGATTCTCTCTCTCTCCCTCTGCCCCTCCTGCTTGTGTACACATGCTCGTGCTCTCTCTCTCTAATAAGTAAATAAGTCTTTTAATAATAATACCAATAAAAGAGGATGTGCAGAGACTGGAGCTGTGGCAGCCACCCTGCGACCACGCGGGAGAACCACGGGCTGCAGGTGCACCGTGAAGAGCCGAGGGGAAGGAGCACTGAGCTCGGAGGGTCGCCAGCCTTGACGATGAGGTGGGCCTGAATCCAGCCACAGCTTTTCTGTTGTGTGAGTGCCTCTGTTCCCTTTCTTTTCGGAAGGTGTTTCCATGAGCATCTATTCTGTTATCAATTACACTCTCGCACACATTTGCTTTAACTCATTTGGGTCATACGAGTTAAGCTTCTTCTTAATAAACACGTATTGAAACAGAATGTGTGTGTGCATACACTCACCCAAAATGTGTGCGGAATTACCACGAACTGACCGCATCTCAAGGTCCCTCGGGAGCCTCCCAATCACTGTCCTTCACCTCCTTCCTAGAGCTAGATCCCTAACTGCTAACACTGGGGTAAATTGTGCCTATTTCTGAACTTTACATAAATGGAATCATTTTTTCTGTCTGGCTGCTTAAACATTACATTTGAAAAAGTCGTTCATTCTTGTAACATGTTAAGAGTCACTGATTTTCATCGTCGCGTGTTCCCACGTACAAAATCCATCCTGTGGACAGACATTTGGGTTGCCACCACCCTCTGTTATAAACACTCCTGTTCCTGTCCTTTGTGGCACGTGGTATGCATCTCGTCAGGTATGTACCGAGGAGGGGGACCCCTGGCTGCACCTCCCTTTCACAGACCCCCTGCAGAATTTTCCAGAGTGAAAGCAGTCACAAGCACCCACTGTTCCACATCCTGGCTAACACTTGGTGCTGTCCATCTTCACCTCAGCCATCCCAGTGGGCCTGCGAGGTCTCTGTTAGACGGTGGCTTTAATCTGCATTTCCCAGAAGACTGACAGGTGCCGCTGCATGTCCTCAGCTGCTCAATGCGTGTACAAGTGTGGCCCCGTTTCCGTGAGGTCACCCCCGCCTTGCCCGTGCTCAACTGTACGTGTCTATTCTATCGTCTGCATGTGAGTCCTCTGTGAGCGTCTCCTCCTCCCCCCTTGCCTTGCCTTTTCTCCCCATTAATGATGTCTTTTGATGAAGACAAGTTCCTAACTTTAATAGAGCCCCTTTTATTAATCTTTTATGATTAGTCTTTCTCATTCCTTTGTAAGAAAATTTCATTTATCCAACATCCCGTGCCTACACATTTCACTTCAAAGCCACGCCCAGCTCCCCACCGTGGTGAAGCAGTGTTGTGTGGGGCCAGCACCCCCACGATCCGGCCTCTGCAGCCAGCACCATCCAGAGTACGCCGGGGCATCGCCCCACACAGCCCTGCCCCTGCTGGGGGGCCGACCACTCCCGGGGCTGTGAGCCCTGACGCGGCTTCATCACGTCGGAGACGCCTTCACAGACCACCGGTTCGGGAACCACCAGGATCCACCACAACCATCTGACCTCACTGCCAACTTCCAGTCCCCGTCATCTCCTGGAAAAAGACAACTACTGGTCCTGAGGTTGCCACAGCCGCAGGCTGAGCAAGCAGGCTGCTCGCGGGCACTTGGCTACACACGGCACCGCCTTGAATCCTCGGTGGACATGCGGTTGTTCTTGCATTTGCAGAAGAGGAAAAGCCTCGGGGTTTCCTTTCGAGCCCAGGGTTATGGGGCCGGGGGGCACACTGCAGCCGGCCCTCTTCAGGGGCACCTGGCTCAAGTCACAGAAACTCAGGGAACAAGTCCCCGCCCTATGGAGTCATCTACACACACACACCCTGTTCACTGAGCTCTGCATGTGTCCCGGGCTCCCAGGCCCTCGCACCCTCGCACCTTGGGCTCAGCACCCTGCGCGCAGCCTCACACTGAGCTCCGGAAGCTGCCAAGGCTTGTAATCATGCCCCTGCCCAGAGGCGGACGCCCTCCCCACTCTGCCGCCAGCCCCTCTGGCTCCCCGGTTCAGGACCTCTCTCTGAACGCCCGTTCCTGGGCCGGGACTCCCGCCTGCACACAGGGCTCAGCAGGCGGGTGGGCACCAGCAGGCGGAGCGGGGCAGCTGACACGGAGCCGCCTGAGCCCCCAGGCCACGGAGGCCGAGCGGCCCGAGACCTCGGCAGCAGGGCTGGCCTCTGATCTCCTCCAGCCTGCGCACGAGGGCCGCGGCGGCCTTCCCACAAGCACACTGTCTTCTGAGCGCCTCTCCCGCCCCCGCGGCATCGGAGCAGACAAACTACTTGTTGCCATGGCTTGTGTGCATCATCCCTGGAGCTCAGCTCCCTGCACTGCAACCCGCGGGGACAGGCCCTGCAATCAATTCATGTCTCTTCCAAGCATGCACCAGCCTGGAGCGCACACTCCCCAAGACACCCGCACTCCCTCCTCCGAATCACCACTCTGACCTCAGC